GCAAAGCTACACAGAGAAACCCTGTCTCGAAAAACCAAATAAATAAATAAATAAATAAATAAATAAATAAATAAATAAAATAAAAAACCAGAACAAAGTGGGCAGTGGTGGCACATGTTTTAATTCCAGCACTTGGGAGGCAGAGGTAGTTCTAAGAGATAGTTCCAGGGCAGCTAGGGCTACACAAAGAAACACTGTCTTGAAAAACCAAAAAAAGAGAGAAAAAACAAAAAACAAAAAACAAACAAACAAAAAAAACCCCAATCAACAACAAAAACCTCAAAAATCAAAAACAACCCCCACCCCCCAAAAAAACCAACCAAACAAAAAACCCAACCAGGCAAAAACAAAACACTCCTTCAAGTAATCTAATTTCTTTTCTTTTCTTTTGGGGGGGCGCCCCCCCCCCTTTTCAAGACAGGATTTCTCTGTGTAGTTTTGGTGCTTGTCCTGGATCTGGCTCTGTAGCCCAGGCTGGCCTCAAACTCAGAGATCCGCCTGCCTGTGCCTGAGAGTGCTGGGATTAAAGGCGTGCGCCACTGCCGCCCGGTTTAAACTCAAGTTGTTTTCTAATTACAGACTTCCAGAGTGGAAGCTGGGCTGCAGAATGGCATAAAAGTCCCTTTAAAAAAGGGGTGGGCGGTGGCTGGAGAGAGGGCTCAGTGCTTAGGGTCCCTTGCTGCAGCTGCTCTTGCAGGGGATCTGGGCGTGGCTCTCAGCGCTCACACCAGGTGGCTCACAACTGCCGGGAACCCCAGTTCCAAGAGATTCAATGCCCTTTTCTGGCGCTGCAGCTCTTGCACACATGTGGCACTCACTCACACAGATACATCAATAAAAATAAATTTTAAAAAGAAAAAAACAGAAGTGGTGGGATGGTTCAGTGGGCAAAGGCCCTTGCTGCCAAGCCTGACGGTGTGAGTTTGATACCAGGAATGCACGTGGTAGAGAGAACCAATTTTCCCAAGTTGTCCTGATTTTCACATGCACACTGTGGCAAGCTCCTCCTGCCACACCCCCATACAAGCAAAACTTAAAAATAAAAGTAAAAACATACTTCTTATTCAGTGATATTGGGACTACGTTTTTACTAAAGTAACATCCAGAACAGACTTTAAAGTCAATCCAATTTTGAACAAGAGTCTCAATTGATGCTTCTAAACATGGGGATTTCAATTACAGATAATTCAACAAGGCTAAGGGGGAAGTTATTTTAGTAACTCTGCAAGTACCAGAGAAAGACACCAGTGCATTTGTGTGTTGTATGCATGCATGTGGATGCCAGAGGAGGACCTCAGTGTCTGTCTTCCTCAGGTGCCTTCACATTTAAAAAAAATTTTTTTTAAAGATTTATTTATTATGCATTAGTGTTCTGCCTACATATATGTCTGCATGCCAGAGGATCTGCAAACACCATATCTTATTACAGATGGTTGTGAGCCACCTTGTGGTTCCTGGGAATTGAACTCAGGACCTCTACAAGAGTAGCCAGTGCTCTTAACCTCTGAGCCATTTCTCAGGCCCTCTACATTGTTTTTGAGACACGGTCTCTTACCGGGACCTGGCACTCACTAATTAGGCTAGGCTGGCTGATTAGGGACCCCCAGGAACTTGTATGTCTCTTTTTCTCTGGAGCTGGGATTCCATGTGCTAGGGTCACATTGCTGTACCACCGTCAGGCTTTTTTATGTGACTTTTTATATTAATACACTTAGGGTTTAGGATATAACACAGCCAGGCTGTAATCCCAGCAGTTTGGAGGTGAAGAGAGGTAGAGATGGAACTCAGGTCCTCATGGTTGTGCATTAAGTACTTTGTGGTCAGGAGCCCAAAGGTCCTTGCACTCACAAACAGCACTAGGGAAACCGGGAATGTTAAAGGCGCGCGCGAGGCTGTCTTTTCAAGGGTGTGGTGGTTTGAGGAGGACCGGTCCCCACAGACCCAGGTGTTTGAATACTTGGTCCGTAGGGAGTGGCATTGTTAGGAGTGTTAGGAGGTGTGGTGTCGTAGGAGTAGGTGTGGCTTTGGTAGAGGAATAGGTAGAGGATAGGCTTTGAGGTTTCAGAAACTCAAGTCAGCTCTCAGCCTGTGGATCCAGATGTTGAACTTCAGCTCCTTCTCCAGCACCATGTCTGATGGCACACAGCCATGATTCCCACCACGATGATCATGGACTAAACCTCTGAAACTGTAAGCCAGCCCCAATTAAATGTTTTCCTTTATAAGAGTTGCCATGGTCATGGTGTCTCATCACAGCAATAGAAAACCTAATGAAGACAAAGGGAAAAGATGTATAACCTGATTTTCTTCTCAGAAGTCTGAGACTGGAAGTAGCTAATAGCCTAGGTCAGTAGTTCTCAATCTGTGGGTCTTGGACCCTTTCACAGGGATCGCATATGGATATTCTGCATATCAGATATTTACATTATGATTCACAACAGCAGCAAAATTACAGTTAAGAAGTAGCAACAAAAAAATCTTATGGTTGGGGGTCACCACCACATGAGGAACTGTATTAAGGGGTTGCAGCATTAGGAACACCTGCACTAGGTGACCCTGGTGCTGTCTGTTGGGCCAGGCCATACCAAGCTCCCTTAAGCAGAACCAGATGACCTCTGTGCTACCTGTATGACCAAGATCACACCAGATCCTCCCCCAGACCCTTAAGATAACACATGTAGCTCATCTTTAGAACCCATCTTCATGGAAGAAGTGACATGCACTTTGAGAAGAGTTTCCAAATAATTATGCCTCCTTATGCACACAGGATTGTGTTACACCAGGAAGCTTTTTTCCAAATTGTACTATACTTAAATACACCTAAAACAAACTGCCCAGTGTTAGATTCTAGAAGCTCAAACCAACACTGGCGAATGAGTCATGTTGAACTGAATTTTCTTCTTATCTCACTAGGATCATTACTCTGCTGGCTCTGGTACTTGCAGAGACCCCTATACTTTACTGAGCTATCGCTCTAGCATATGATACATTTTTGGTGTGAGCCTGAACCTTTAACCAATAAGCCACCTCTTCAGTTCCAACACTGTATTTTTGTAATCAATAACGCTTTCGGAATAAATGACCAGATACTGAAATATGTAGAAAAACTAGAAGGAGGGTAGTGGTGGTGGTGGCGGTGACGGCGGCGCACGCCTTTAATCCCAGCACTCAGAAGGCAGAGGCAGGTGGATCTCTGTGAGTTCGAGGCCAGCCTGGTCTCCAAAGCAAGTTCCAGGAAAGGCGCAAAGATACACAGAGAAACTCTGTTTCGAAAAACCAAACCAAACCAAACCAAAAAACCAAAAAAACCAAAAAAAAAAAAAAAAAAAAAAACTAGAAGGAAATTGGTGTTGTCACAAATAACTGGGTGCCGGTGGATGAAACAGGCAAGTTAGGGCTTAATGGAGTGGTAGAAGACAGACAACATGTTCATAGTGAGACCCTGTCTCAAGAGAAGCATATTTTGTGAATTCTTACCTTGAAACACTCTTCTTGTATGTGTATATAAGTGGTATCTTTGGTTTCCTGTATTTTCCAGGATAAGCTTTGCCATCAGATAGATGCTGCCTCAAGCCAACTTTAGTTTGGTGTCTCACTTAAAATGATCTCTCAAAATGTTTAACAATCATTATTATAATACCTAAAGGTATTAACTGTCTCTACACCAAAAAACGCTTTTCCCAAACAGGTCAAGGTGGAAGGTCTCAAGCTGGAAGCTGGGGTTGAGGGTGTAGATCAGAAGGTGTGGACCGCGTTCTTAGCAAGCACAAGGGCCTGGGTTTGACCCCCAGCACAGGGAGATGATGTCGGAGGACCAGAAGTTCTAAGTAGTCCTACAAGAGACCTTGCCTCAAAAAACAACAAGACATTGGAGGTCACCACCAAATAAGGATATTTCAAGTAATCGGTCTGAATGAAAGCAATCTTGGGAATTAACGTTTTGCAGTATGGAAGGACAGCACACACTGGTACAGTTCTCAAAAAGGGGAGAGCATATAAATAAGACAGTGCTTTCAGCAGGCTTTCCTCTGCTAGAAAAGATCAATTTTATCCAATAACTAGATCTAATCACATTTCCTCCATTCTAATTTGTGACTTTTCACTTTTACTATGAACAGCTTAAAAGAAGTCTTTTTTACATTTTACCCCCCGAAAGATTATTATCAAATGGTCTCTTTTGGCATGTATAAAAAAATGTACTAGCTACATATTTTTTGCTTTTAAACCTTGAAGATAACTCTACAGCCAAAACCCTTTTTTGAACATTGCCATTCCAGGCAGAATCCGCCTAAGCGAGTAACTGAACAACGAGGTTCTAGAAGCCTGTTTAAAGTCGGCAGGGGAATCAATCACAAAACCACCTCAAGTTGGTTCTCAGGCGTCCAATCCTAAAATGCTGCTGGGATGAGCAGGCGCGAGGTGTGCTGCCTTAGAGACTCGGCGCCCAGCCCCACCGCGTCCTGAAAGATCAAAGCCCGCAGCAAACCGCCGGGCTCCCGCTTGTGACCGCTTACGGGTAGTTCGCATCCAGTGGAGCAGCGCCGGGACATCTGCTGGAGCCGTGGTCCCGAGCAGCTGAAGCACGGCTCGCCGAGCGGAGCCAAAGTCCATGGCGCAGCGGGCAGGCGGGACAGGGACGGGATCGCACTGAGCACGCGCAGCCAGACCCCGCCCCCGCCCCGCGGAGCCTCCACTCACGGGGGCCCGAGCCGCTAAGCCCCGCCCCTTCGGGGGGGGAGATCCCGCCTCTCGCGGCTGCAGAAGCCCCCGGCCCTCCTGCACGCTGTCGCCTGGTCGCTTTTTCTCAAGGGGGGGCTCCTGACGTCTCCCCTCGAGATTGCACCCCGGGCAGGGCCGGTGCCGCCGCCGCAGGGACGTCCGGGTAGCACACTAGGGTCAAAGGTCAGCTCCAGCCCAGCGACACCCTTTGCAAACCCTGAGCGGAGGCGAGCCCGCCGAGCGGCGGCTTGGCGCCCCGGAAGCGGAAGTATGCTTTCTTGGCGAAGGGCTGGACCACGCTGAGTGATGACGTCTCCCCATTGGGCGGAAGGTTCGGTGGCAGTTGTCGGTGTTCCAGCTGGTGGGAGTTGGCTTCACGGTGCCGGGCGCTGGGCCCCTAGCGTGTGTAGCTGGGGAGTTGGGCTGCGGGGTCGCCCCTGTTCCTCCTGCTTCCGGCGTTTCCCGGGTCTCCGTCCGCGGCGTGGGGCCTCGCCAAGGACTCGCCGGCCCCGAGGGGCCGCGGATCGAGGGGTGACTTTTTGCGGTGAGTGTGGGGCTTCTCCTCCCTCGGCGCGACTGAGAAGGGAGCCCCGGGCAGCCGGACCCCCGGTGTGGGCCAGACGCCCCTGCGGGAGTCTTCCCTGGTCGCCGCAGGCTGTGATCGCCGGGGCGGGGGTGGCCGGACACTGTTACCTCTCGTCCGCCAGCGCAAGTTTTAGTAAAGGATGCGCTGTTTACCCTTTGAATGTGCCTTCAGGTTTACCCGAGCCAAACACGATGTAAGCATCTGTAGTCTTGACTCATGGATGGCTTTCCCGAGCGATTTTAGATGAGGCTGCTTGCCCCAAACCTTCTGATTTTATCTTCCTATCTTTCAGTGCTGAACATAAGGTTCTTTCTGCCTGGAGTAGATCTTGGCTAAATTAATAAGATAGTTCAGTGACAGGGGTAAGATACACTGACGACTTTGTTGTTTATCAGTTGACGCTATCGACAATGCATTTTTTTTTTCTTTCTGTTTTTCGAGACAGGGTTTCTCTGTGTAGCTTTGCGCCTTTTCCTGGAACTCACTTGGTAGTCCAGGCTGGCCTCGAACTCACAGAGATCTGGAGCCTGGCTCTGCCTCTGGAGTGCTGGGATTAAAGGCGTGCGCCACCACCGCCCGGCTGCCAGGTTTTCTCTATGTAACAACCCTGGCTGTCCTGGAACTTGCTTTGTAGGCCAGGCTGGCTTCGAAGTCACCGAGATCCGCCTTCCTCTGCCACTGCTGAGATTAAAGGCTCCACCTTTAATCAGCTGCTATCGCTTTTCTTGTTGCCAGTCTTCACTTAGTTGTTAGATATTCATTTGAACAAAATGTTTACGGGGCTTTCTTTCTTTTTTTTTTTTTTTAAAGCTGTAATGATAAAGTAGTGAAGGACACAAGCCCCAACATGGAGAGGCCAGCAGTACAGAGGAGAAAAAAAAAGCCCACAAATACTTATTCTAGCCTGATGAATAATGAGAAACTCTGGTGAGGCATAAAGCGGTCTAGGATAACAGAGATGAAAGTTAGTGTGCCCCCTAAGAGATCTGTCTGAACTACTTGCTGTTGAAATCCAGCACTAATTTCCTGACAGGCTTGTGAGGATGAAGAGGGCTGGGTAACACCTTTGGTCCAGTACCTGTGACAGAGCAGGCGTGCTATGGAGGAGGGAGACAGTTCCCTTTACCTCAGCTGTGCTTGATATGGCTGATTAGTATTTTCTGACTTAATAAATAAAGAATACTAGACAAGGAGTACTCCTGTAACTTTCTACGCCTACTACTGGAATGTAGCTTTTCTTTCTCTTAAAGAGACTTTTTTTTTTCCCCCAGTGTGCTTTTGGAGGAGGGGAAGATGAGTAAAACTACAGTCTCTTGGGGATCAGTCTGGTTGATCTCTCTTTCATTTGGCCCTTACTGCTAGAACACACGCTCTCCCATAGATTTCCCCTGAGCGTTCTCACCCACATGTGTCCCTTCCATGCATTGTTCCCATAGGCCGGCCATCTCTCTCCACGCATCTCTTTCTAGCCTTCATTTTGAGAGTTCGGCACTTTCTGCAGGACTCAATAGGCCGAAGGCAAATGAGCTCCTTCCACCTCCCATTTCCCACCAGGCTGTGTAGTGTTATATGTTGAAGTGTATAGAAGCGGTGTGTTTTTGAGTTTTGACCCTTATTGTTGAGCGTGCTGTGTGTATTTTAAGAAAGACTCAGCCACATGTGCCTGGCTACTTTGTAGGCTGGGGGTGGGGATGGGGAAGTTACTGGGGCACAGGAACTGGAGGTGAGCCTGGGCATCATTATCAATACCCCGTTCCTAAAATGCACAACAAAACAGTGTAATAAAAGGAACACGTACGCAGACATTCTACTTAGGTTGTAGACCATTGAGTAACTAAGACTTGAATTTTTTTTCTGTATTGATTTTCCTAACTTTCAAATCAGCTTCCCTTTTGCTTTTCATTCATCTGTTAGTGACATCATTAGCCACTTGGCCATTCAGACTGGAAACACAGGAATAGTTTTTGACTAGTTCCTCTTCTTTTTACAGCCATTTGGACATTCAGTCCTGTAGACTTTGTCTCATTTATTTGTTGTTGTTCAGAAGTGCTTTTCTTGTCAAAATGTTTGGATTGTGGCTAGTATTTGTAGACTTCTGACTCTTGGATTTTTCTCTATTTGATGCATTTGCTGTTGTCTAAAGGAGTTCTTATTCTGTATATATGGTTATGTATGTTTATGTGTGTACGTACAGTTTTTGTTTCCCTTTTTGAGACAGGATCGTAATATGTTGCCTTGGCTGACCTTGGAGCCATGGCCTCAAGGGATCTTCTTGCTTCAACCTCCCACATAAAACATACCTGTAATGGACCTCTGCCTAAGAGACTTTAAAAGTTGAGGACATCCTGGGCTGTGGTGCATGCCTTTAATCCCAGCACTCAGGAGGCTGAGGCAAGTGGATCTCTGTGAGTTCGAGGCCAGCCTGGTCTACAAAGTGAGTTCCAGAACAGCCAGGGCTACACAGAGAAACCCTGTCTTGGAAAACAAAACAAACAAACAAAAAGTTGAGGACAGTTTTCCATTCCTGTGTTTGATTTGCAGGATGCTGCTGCGTGCAATGATTTCTGACCTGACTGCACGTCAGGGTCTGTAATGGCTTGCTTTGCTTTTCAAGAGTTTAGACAAGTACTCTCCCCCTCCCCCACCACGTTATTGTCCCTGGGGATTCTGACTGAGGGTTTTATTTTGAGCTGATAGGCGTTGTATAAATGTAACTAATGTAACATTGCTTGGGCTTGTGCCTTCCTCCCCTTTTCCATTTTTCCCATCAGTGCTCTTTTTAGTTTCAAAAGCAACTATTGTCAAGGATTTTTTTCTTTTCAGTTTTCTTCTTGGCAATATTTTGTGTAAAGATTCTTTTTATGACTGACCTGACAGCCAGACAGTATCTTAGGAAAGGACCCTTGTAGGTTTTGGTTTGCTTTCTTCTTTTCCTTCCTTCCTTCCCACTCCCCCCTTTTTTTTTTCTCTCTCTCCTTTGCCTTTTTCTTTTTTCACAGGATCTTATTATGTAGCCTTGGTTGGCCTGGAACATGCTATGTAGACCATGCTGGCCTCACAGGTCTAGAAGTCTCCCTTCCAAAATAAAAGCCGTGCAGTACTATACCCCTCCTTGTTTTTTAGTTACTATTGCTTATTAGGTGTGGTGTGGGGAGCGGAGGAGGTGTATGTATGTTTGTGCACATGTATGTGTTTGAGCAAGTGTCTACGTGGCTGCAGGTCTGAGGAGGAAGCTAGGCGAGAATGTTGGATATGTTCTATCCTGCTCTGCCTAACCCCTACCTAACAGGGCCATTTTTTCTTTTTTTATTGTAAAATTTTTTTAAGTTTTAATTTTTTTTATTTTTTGAGATTATAAAATAATTTCATAATTTCCCCCTTTCTTTTCCTCCCAATAAACACCCTCTTATATATCCTTGTGCACTTTCAAATTTATGGC